TCTCAACCAGCAAAAACCCTTGTTCCTTCCTATTATTGCTTATACTCTCTCTTCAACAAAATTAGAGGTAAGGGCAAAATAGTTTCTGCCGGGTATCGAAGGGGTGGGGGGAAGAGGGAGTGGGTGGAGTGGGTGGTAAGGGAGGGGGTGGGGGCAGGGGGGGAGAAATGACCCAAGCATTGTATGCACATATGAATATTAAAAAAATAAAAATTAAAAAAAAAGAACTATCTCACATATAGACCATTATTTTCTGATAAGAAGTAATTCATGTCTGTTTATTAAGAACCTTCATTAATTAAATATTAATGTTTTATTAACATTGTCTGTGTTACCCCAAAACTATTCTATTGGTTCCTTCATTTATTTATACGACTGACACAAAAAATTAGTGAAGGTTTATTTTATACCTATTCTATCAAGGAGCACTTATTGTCTCATGTATTCAGAAACTTCTGTCCACCTAATGCTAAGAATGAGAAAATAAATTTCACATCAGAATAGTCATCCAAAATACATGCCGATATACCTTGTAACTGAGTGGTCCCTGAGACCTCAAGAGACTCCAAGGCAGGCAGGGTGAGAAGCAGCTCTTGCTCTGCTGTGCTGAGCTCAAAGTGACTTATGGAGCACTTGGTGACAGAGGCCTTATTCAGCTCCAGAACTGGGTGGATGCTTTCGAGAAAGCCCCCGCTGTGGGTTAAATGGAGGTTGATGCGCTGGGAAACTGGGAAAACGGCTTTTAGAAATGTGAGCATGTCCTGGTCGGCAGAGCCCACATTGGCCACCTGGACTTCTAGCAGGGGGATCTTGCAGGGCTTGGGGGACAGTTTCCAATAGCCGGAACTGAGGCCCACCAGTAACGGTACCCTGAGTTGGCTGTTCAGGAACCGCTTTATGTTCTCCTGTTTTTCAGCTAAATTTTGGTCAAATTCATCCATCCGTTCAAAGTTAGCGGCATAGTCTTCATCAGTGGTTGGGACCTGTGATCTGTCAAAACATCTTTCCAGGCCTGAAAAAAACAGTTCAGGTGTCTTTTTAGGTTCATTTATGGAGATGTGAACACTCCTCAACAACAACAGGCTTTCAGGGTAATCAAAAAAGTACTGTGCCTTAAGTTCATTGATAGACAATGTCCTCCCTTGCAGGAACTGGGAAATAAACGGAGAACATGCTGCAACTGTGTTGCTTTGATAAGCAATTTTTAGAGCAAGAGCCAGTATCTTTTTTGAGGCCAGGGAAAAATAAGCTTTTGGAGAAAATTGCCACAATGCTTCAAATAAGTGCATTGTCAGTGACGTTTCCAGATGTTGCTTCATGTAGTCATTTTCAGGTATATTTTCCAATGTCTCTTTATTATCCACCAACTGCAGCAAATGAGATACAACTTTTGGCCCCGCCTTTGTTGAAGGGTGGATGAAGGCACATTTCAAAAACCTGTCATAAAGGCCTATGACCATAAAGGATGAGTTAATTTTTTTCAAATAATAAAGTCCCAAATCTTGATCTTCCTGTGTGTCTGAATCCAGGAGTTCAATCAGCCTCATTCCAGCAAGAAATTCTTGGAATGTGGGGTTTAAAAACCGATAGACTGGCCTCAGCCTCTGGGCTGTGAATTTGCTCATCAAGCACATGACTAGATCTTCATCTTCATCCACCCCTGCTTCTGAGAGGTCACTGTCACTAAACTCAAAGCGAGACGAAAAATACCCTTTCAAGGCCAGCTCACCACAGAAGGACACGGCTGTGCTTCTATGCATTAAGGAAAGGCATTTCACGTAGGACTTGAAAACAGCCATTTCATCAAAGGACAGGCCAGAAGGGTTCTGCAACCAGTAAGCACAAACTGCCGCCACGAAGAGGGGAGTCTTATAAATTCCCTGCAAATCTTTGTTCCTTCCAAAGAAAACCATAAACTCTACCAGACCAATTATGTTATCCGAGAAGAGCGTCCGTAATAAATATATAGTATTATAGAAGGGAAACGCTTTAATCTCTAGAATTGTATCTAGGTGTCGGCGGATGTCTCTGGCCCTGTTTGTACGGACAGCGATCAATAAGCAGGTCCGTGATGAGTGGTTTTTTAGAATCAGTTTTTGTATGACTTGGGGGATTGCACACATTTCACTGTAGTCATCCAAAAGGAATAACACCTGATTCTTTAGCTGCTGGATGGTGTTCATCAGAGACAATTCAGTAACAGATCCTTCTGTCTTTAGGAGTTGGTCACAGACGATGTTGGCCAGTCCCTGGTTCAGTCTGGTAGAACTCAGGGAGAGGTAGAAGACCAGCTGGAACCTGCTCAACAGAGGACAGCATCCTGATGCCCAGAGAAAAGCTATTTTCTTCAGGAAGACTGTTTTTCCACTACCAGCTTCCCCCTCCACACACATGACAGAGTTCAAGTTGGCAAAGACCTCAGGCAACAGCAGGGGCTCCTGCTCAGAGCTGCTGATGTGCTTCGAAGCAATGGACAGATCACACTGCAGCAAGTGGTCGGTGAGTTCTCTGTGAGAGATGTCAAGGAAAGACATGTGGCGGAAACTGGCTTTGACGTAAGCTGCCCTCAGTTGCTCATTCAGACTCTTTGCCTCGTGAAACCATTGGGCTTCAGTCTGGGCCACCTCTGGAGAGAAGAAGGAAGGCACAGCTGGATTCACATTTGCATCTCTCCCTCCCAATGCCATGATCTCTTCACTGCATGACTGCCTGTCTACGACGGATGGACCGCTACCTTCACCACCATCCGTGATCCCCAGCTCTCTCCATAAAATCAGAACATGGGTATCACATGCCCCAGTCCCTTACTTAATGTGGAGATGAAGACATAATGCATGACAATTTTCAAGAGCACCATGAGTCCTATAACTTCCCACTTACAGATCTCAGGAAAGAAGCTTGCTGCATGGTGCCTTTCCGTTCTTGTTTGTATCTGAGACACATGGACTGCTGTGGATTCCACCCTCACTCCCTCTGGAAATACTGCAGGAACTCTGATTTTGTCTCCTACACAATACTCCCCACTTCAATGCTGCTCGGTGGGTTATTACAAATGCTCTTTCTTTTCAAACTCCTACATGCAAATCTACATACCATGCCACGTGCTACTTCCAAATGTTTACCTGGCACTGTGGAATGAACTGAAACTTCCAGACTGCTTTTGCTTGTGATTTCCTTTGGAACAATAAAATCCTTATTAAATCAAACATTCCATATAAGAGTGGAGCATTATATTACCGTTCAGGACCAAACATCTTCTAAACAGAGCCCACCCTCAAACATCTACACCGATTGAAGGAAAGGAGTGTTCTACTTACAAAATACTAAATAATCTGCAAACACCTGCAGGAGTATGTGTTCCTAGATGGAACATGCATGCTACATTCAATGGCATACACTATCTATTTTGTCAGAATCCTAGTGTCTAGAGGAAGAACCCTGCAAAAATCATTAGGTGTAGTCTCTGTGTTTAGTGATTTCATGTTTAAGATTACACACCTGCAATGAGAGGTTATGTTTCTTCCTTTAAAAGAAGCTATTTATATGTCTCCAAACCTTTCTCTTCAATGTCATTTTTTTTTCTTTCTCACATCAAATGGGTAATGTGCTAACATAACAAAGAGGGTTAAGGAAGGCACATCTCACACAATGGCATAAAAACCCAATCACCAGATTTATGAGCCACAAAAGGATCTCAATGTCATTTTTAAACTCACAACTATAAAAGATATATCAAGTGATCAGAATTTCTTCATTTTCTTTTTGTGGGATGATAAACATAACATGGCTACCACACAGCCTCAAAATAAGGTGGGGTGTGAATAAATTGATAGTTGGATTATATCCCAGAGAACTACATAGGATTTCTCATTTTAAGATGGTCAGCCTATTTTCTGGGCTTATGATTTTGTTGGGCATTTGTTTTTGTTAAAAAATCATATCTCCCAATTTGAAAAAGACCAGGTACTAAGTCACAGATGGGACCTATTTAGTATGAATACCAATCAACTCCTAAGTCCATACACTTCATGAAGCTAGGTATTGTGTCTTCCTGGTTTACTGTGGAATCCCAAACACACCTCACAAATGGTAAGTGCTTAGTAGATAGGTGTATGCTGAATCTATTTATTCATTTATTTAGGATGAGCAATTCTCATTCAAAACACTTCCCAGTAATTCACTCATGTACTGCTGAAAGAGAAGATGGCGGGGTCATTACCGTTGATTCTGAAAGTTCACTGCAACTTGGAAGGTCTGGAATCACTTCTGCAAAGGACTTCATATTTTGCAGAAATAGACAACTAAGCACAGAAAAAATCAGTTTATGCAATTAAACCTTTGCATTAGGTTTTTAAAACACTGTTAGAATTTTAGTGACTAGAGTCAAGTGTAAGACTGACATTTTCAGTGATGGTGTCAGTGTTGTTACCATAGGACGTTCAGACTGTAGCTCTCAGCAGTAGACATGCATATTGCATGGTTCACAAAGCAATGGTGAGCACAGCCAGGAAGGAATTTAATGGGGCCAATGCTTATTTAACCTTCATCCTTGAAACCAATGAAAATTAACTTAAAAGAATAAAAAATAGACTGGGAAGAGGTAGGGGAGCAGCAGGAAAGGGGTGGGCAGACAAGAGAAGGTGATAGAGGGGAGAGTATGATGAAAGTACACTATATACATATATGAAAATAAAATAATGCAACCTATTATTTTATACAATTAATATATGCTAATGAACAATGAATAAATGCCCAGGCACTGTGGCTCATGCTGGTAATCTCTATCCTGGTAGAGACCAGGAGGACTGCAGTTCGAGGCCAGCTTGGGCAAAAAGTTCACAAGAACCATCTCAACCAATAAAAAGCTGGGTGTGGTCATGTGTGCCTGTCATCCCAGCTGTGCAGGATGGATAAAAAGGATGGTGCTGGGCAAAAACCTGAGATCCCGTCTCAAAAAGAACTAAAGCCAAAAAAAAAAGGAACAAAATAGAGAAAAGTCCATTTATGGATCCAGAACAACAACAACAACAACAAAGGACAGTAGTGAAAAAACTGTTAAAGTCTAGAGTTTAATTAATAATAATGTATTATGGTAATTTAAGATGTTAGCACTAGGGGAAATTGGACAAGGTACTATATAGAAACTCTCCAAAATTCTGTACTTTTTCTGTAGACCTAAATTATTCCCAAATTAAAAGTTCATTTAAAAAAAAAAAACAAAACTCCAAGCTGGACGCCAGTGGCTCACACCTATAATCTTGGCTACTGAGGAGGCAGAGAGCAGGAAGATTGCGGTTGGAAGCCAGCCCAGGCAAATAGTTTGCGAGACTTTATCATCACAAAAAAGGGCTGGTGGAGTGGCTCAAGGTGAAGGCCCTGAGTTTAAGCCCCAGTACTGCAAAAAACAAAACAAAACTCCATCAAAACTGAAGAACGGCCACAAACATAAGCTCAAAAACTATTTGCCAGACATCATGACACTGGGACACAAATATCCTATAAATTTGGGTATGATGTCTACTTGCAGGACAAGGAGGGAAAACTGAAAAGAGCTCTACCTGCAATTGTTAACTTAAACAGGTATGAAATATAAATGTGAGAAGGAAACAGAAAAACTAGGAGCATCCAACCGTTTGGAGCCCATTTCCACACCTCAGTCACAGGAAAGCAGGGGGAGCAAGAGGATATTTCATTTTTAATTTCCTTATGTAAGTTAGAGATGAGTCCAGGGATAGAAACATAGCTACAGAAAACAGCAAGTAGGACTGTTCATGTTTCTGCACAGGGCCAGCCACATAGAGACCTATCAAATAAAAGAACTATGAAGGAGGAAAAAATAAAGCCTGGTTCATACAAAGAAAAGCCAGCGAAGTTAGCTGCCAGCACACCTGCACTACAAGTAATGTGAAAGGAAGCTCTTCAGGAGCTCAAGGGAAGTGACAGCAGATGGACACTTGCTTTTATCCCAAGGGATGAAGAGTGCCAGATATACTGACCAAGTGAGTAAATATAAAAACTATCTTTACTTTTTAAAAGTTTACTAGATGGGAGTGTAGCTCTGGTCACAGTGTGCTTGCCTAGTATGCATGAGGCCCTGGGTTCCATTCCCAGAACCATGAGGAAAAAAAAAAGGGAGAACTGACAGTGTAAAGCCAATATGCAACACCCTAACACTATATTGTGCGATTTACATGTGGAAATAACATGGAGGACAATAGCTCAAAGGATAAGAGGAGAGAAAGAGAAGTATACTGCTACATGGTTCAGGAATGTTTTGTCAAATGCTATATTTTTGAAGATGACTGACACATTAAACATACATATTGTAAACCATAGAATAAGCACTAAGAAGACAAAAGAAGGTTGTATAATTAACAAGACAACACAGATAAAATGGGGTACTAAACAAATACTCAAACCTCAAGAAGGCAGGAAAAGAAAAAAAGGAGAGATGGAATAAATAGAAAACAAATAGCAAAATAGTAGGCTTAAATTCAGTCATGTCAGTAACTACATTAAATTAGACAGCAGATATCATGACTGTTGAGAGAGGGGAAGGGAAGGGGATAAAGAAAGAGTGATAGAGGGATGGATGGGATCAGAGTACATTTATGCATGTATACAAACATCACTGAAACTCCTCTGTACAATTAATTCACACTAATAAAATTATCAGAGAAAAAAGAAAATATATTGTTGGTCTTATTAAAAACCAAGACCTAGATGCATTGCCTGCAAGAAATTTACTTTAAATGTAAAGTCATAGATAGAATAATAAAATTTGAATTTTTGTTAAAGATGCAACATGCAAAACTTAATTATAGAAAAGCTGAAGTGGCTATTTTAATATCAGATAAAAACTTAAGAATAAGGACTATATCAAAGATAAAGAGGGATACTTCAACATGAGTGTGGTGGTACATGCCTATCCCAATACATGTGAGGCAGAGGCAGGAAGATTACGAGTTCGAGGCCAACCTAGGCTAAATAGTGAGTTTGAGGCCGGCTTCACTGTTCTCAACAATTTACTACATACTAAGTCTAAATGAGAAAAAAGTAACCACTGCTGTGGAAATATCTTCCAAGCATTACCCCTTTAGAACCTTAAAATTAGATGGGAGTACTCATTTTTAAATCTTTATGTATTCATATTTAAAACCTCTTACTAATCCTATAGTGGAAACAATAAATTTCTTCTGGAAATTGAACATTTTTGAAGAGTTTGATGGGTAGAAAATAAGCACAAAAATGTTTAAAGACACATAGACAGGGGGCCGGAGAAATAGTTCAGTGGTAGAGCCCTTGTCTAGAGTATACAAGACCTTGAGTTTGATCCCTCGCACTAGAAAAAAAATCACAGAAAAGAAATATTTCTTTGTGAAATTTTAGAACACTGGAAATAGATAACCCTAAAAACTTTCATAGCAAAAAAAAAGTAGCTTGCAATCAAAGGCTTAAGAATCAGAAAAACATGGAATTTCTCAGCAGCAACATTTAAAGCTAGTAGAAATGTAGTAATGCAATTGGCTCTACATTTTAAAATAAAATAACTTCCAACCTAGAGTCGATAGCTAACTAAACTGACAAAAATGTGATGTATATACACACATACAGATGTCTGTCTATCTATCTACCTGTCACCTGTCTATAGATAACAGAGGAAAAGAAAACATTGTCATCTGTAGATAGATAGATGACAGATAAATAGATGACAGATACACACACATAGATGCTTAGATATGTGTATTACATTCAAACTAAAAGTATATGTCTCCTATACAATCTTCCCCAGGACTCTGTAGAGGAATGTTCCACCAAAATGTGCAAGTAAACAAAGAAGAGAAAGATGTGAGGTCCAGGAAATGGGACAGAGCACAGGAGAGATAGAGTAGACATCTCCAGGAGGACCGTGACGATCCCAGGATCCTGGGGAGAGATCACATTGGAGCCATCAAGAGAGTCCTTTAAGAAGACGAAAATGATGAGACATTATCAAATAGCAGGGTCTGAATGATTTCAGAGGAGATTGAGACATCTAGAAGAATTTGCAGATACAAGTACTAAGAACATAAAAAAAAAA